ATATATATATATATATATATATATATTTTGACAATTTTGTTCTTATAATTACTTCTCCAACCACTTTTACATTTTTCTATCATTTTTTATTTAGTTTTTATTTTTTATTTATTTATTTTTACTTTTCCATAAATTTCACTTTTCAAAATTAGTCAAAAATTAACCTTATAATTACAATTACTAAAAAAATGTTCAGAGTCCAGATTTTCTTATTGTTATTTGTTCACTTTTATTTTATTTTAAATTGTCTGAAATACAAAGTGTGTTTTTTACGTCAATAAAACAGTAGATAAAGAGAATAATATGCTTTTGTGGCTAATATAAATCCCGCTTTTCAGAAAAACAAATAAGAAATTGCAGAGGGTGTATTTCTTCATTGGTTTATTCGATGAGTGTATCTTTAGTCAATATTTTTTTATATTGTACTAACATTTTTCATGGTTCAAGCTTCCTCAGTATCCACCAAAACTGCAGAGCATGTCCTAGATATAAATGTGCCCAATAATATCTTACAACAGAATTATAGAATCCGTTGGTTTAGGAATTATGTAAGACAAGTCTTCACGCGTTCAATATATTATACCATTAGTTATATTGAGAAAAATCCAAATCTAACATCGACTAGAGATTAGGCAATTAAATAGTATATAAGTGGAAAATAACCCTTATCTTACAAGCCGGTTTTGTAGGGTTTAGTTAGACTTAATTCACTATTCTAAAATTGTATCAAAGTCATTTAGATCCACTTTAAATGGGTCACCCACCATTGATACCATGGGTATGAGGGGTGTATTGAGAAAAACTCAAGTCCTGCCATTCCTAGATCATTAAAAATGGCTACATACCATTTATCTACGTACCAAACCCAATAGTACTGGACGTGAGGGGGTGTATTGAGAAAAATTCAAGTCCCATATCAACTAGAGATTAGGCAATTAAATAGTATATAAGTGGAAAACAATCCTTACCTTACAAGCTGGTTTTGTAGGGTTAGGAAAAACTCAAGTCCCATATCAACTAAAAATTAGATAATTAAATAGTATATAAGTAGAAAATAATCTTTACCTTACAAGCTAGTTTTGTAGGGTTGAGTTAGGCTTAATTCCCTGATAAGTTACCGCATAGAAATCGAGAAAATTTCAATTCCAAATTGAAATTCTGTGACATAAAGTAGAACCCCTTTACTATGGAGTAGCTTTGTTTGTGATTGTGACGTACCAGCACTGAACTATTCGTAAACTAGCATGAACATCTACTCATCAGATCATTTCTCAATATTCCACGTCCAAATTGTAGATCCACCGTTCGGATCACAACCCGACAAGCGTCAGTGACCCACTTTTTTTGTCTCTACATTACTTAACACTTTGTTTAATGGTAAACAAAAATGCACATACAAAGAACGATTAGTGCTATAAATCAAAACCCTCGATGATTATTTCAGTAGTTAATATAGAAATTCTCCCGACCCAGCAACGTGGTTAGACTTAGATTAGATGTCACGGTTCTGTTATGTTCATCAGACGTGACCAAATCTGGGGTGAACACCATCACCATGTACTCCATACTATATATAATAGAAAATGAGAGCCTAACACACATTTTGGAATGTTATTGAGAAATGATTTGGAGGGTTCAATTCGTTTGTTGACAAATCAGTGATTAAGAAGCAAAATGGTTGTAACTTGTAGCTTAATTTGAGAAAGACAAAGAAGCAATGTAGCCCCAACCTCCATTTGGTACATGGGGACCCCTACATTGCCATACACATAAAGAAGATTTCATCTTTCTCACGACAAGTGTGGCGAATCTCCAAATGCTTCTTCACTCACTCAACCACAAATTGTTGACATTTCCTTCTTTTGTAGCTTACGATAAGGTCAGTGACCATTCTACTTGGTCCATGCCTTTCTCAAAAGTCCTCCCGATTCGATTCAATCTAATTAATTCTTTGTGGCTATGGTACAATATGTTCAAATTACAAGACCATGCAACCTAGTTATAATAAAAAAAGTCTCATGTCATTTGAGAATCACCACAAGTGAGACTTAAAATAAAATTTGAATTTTTTTTATAAAAAAAATATTTGTTAAATCTTTTTACTATCATGAGATTTTTTTATTATTAATATATGAATTTTTTACTATGTAAAAATTAATAGTAAATTATTTTTTTTTGCTGATGGTTGCATAATAACATTACTCTTAACGTGATTTTAAGTTTACTTGTAA